ATATATATATATATATATACATGTAAAGAAGAAATCAAGTGATGGAGAGAGTGAAAAAAGTTTACCTGAAAAAGGATTTTGTTGAATAATAATGGTTTGTAAAATAAAGAATACTTCAAATGATAGAGAAGAAGAAAAATAGATTTATTGATGGACAAATCATAGAGGAGCATATGGAATGGTTTGGAGGTTTCACCTCCAATAATGAAGATGAAAAGGTTGTAGGTTTAACTTTTTAAAATTATCAAAAGAACTTTATCCTAATGAATTTCATGTTTTAAATATAGGGACGGGAAAATCTTTTACATATATATCAAATATTTTAAAAAATAAAAAATCTAAGAAAAAAGAATGAGAGGTTTCTAATGTTTAGAGGATGACACCTTATTATGTTTGGTTTCTCCTTTAAGAAGTAAAAATATTATAAAATAATTTTCAAGTTCAATGCTAAAGAAGGAAAAATTCGCAATAGACCGATCAACATCGATGTCTTAAAAACCATATGAAAGATTACGGATCTTAAAAAATCATAAATCATCTTTCTTGATACACTCTTCTAGCATCAATGCAAATATATTCTAGCATAATGTTTATCAAGTTCATGGATAAACAAACAAAAAAATACTTATTTTTATGTTCTACATATGCTTAAAAAATGTTATCTTATTTCATCAATGATTCATATGTCACTTTATCCACACAAAAAAAGGATTCATATGCTTGTATAATTCCAATTTTAGTGTGAATGTTTCCAATTAAAAGACGAAGTACTATACTTATATCAATAAAAACCCATATCATATATGTCTTCTTGAATGACGCCTCAAATCAACAAAAATGCAAATCACCTCCACAAAAACTAAATAGAGGAAGAATTGAGAGATTAAGAGAGATTGTTATGCTTAAACAATGTTACCTTATTTCATCAAGAATTCATATGCCACTTTATCTACACAAAAAATATTCATATGCCTACCTAATTTCAGTTTTAGTGTGAATGTCAACGATTAAAAGACATACATAAGCAAAAACTCATACCATGATTTGTCTTATTGAATGACGCCTCAAATCAACAAAAATACAAATCCCCTCTAGAAAATTATAACTGAATAGAGATGAATAATTGAGAGATTAATAAATAGATTATCATAGAGGTATATCATGAAGAGAAGTTGAAAAATTATAACCGAAAAGAGAGAAATAATGAGAGTTAAAAGATCAATTATTAGAGGGAACATGAGTAAGTTGAATTAGTTGGTGAATATCAAAAATCAAAAATAAATATTGAGGTGAGAAAAGTTTGAGAAAAAGAGAGAAATGATAAAGCATTTTCTAGCTTTGAGAAGATACCACGTCATTGCACGTGGTTTCTTCTTTTATATATATATATATATATATGTCTCCAATTAAAAGACGAAATACTATACTTACATAAGCAAAAACCCGTACCATGATTTGTCTTATTGGATGACACCTCAAATCAACAAAAATACAAATCGTCTCTACAAAATTATAACTGAATAGAAATGAAGAATTGAGAGATTAATAGATAGATTATCATAGAGGTATACCATGAAGAGAAGATGAAAAATTATAACCGAAAAGAAAGAATTAATGAGAGTTAAAGATCAATTATTAGAGGAAACATGAGTAGGTTGAAGTAATTAGTAAATCTCAAAAATCAAAAAAAAAAAAAATATTGAGGTGAGAAAAAATTGAGAAAAGAAGAGAAAAGATAAAATATTTTTTAGCTTTGGGAAAAAGGTCACGTCATTGCACGTGGTTTCTTCTTTAATATAGATATAGATTAGGATTAAATACATAAAATAACAATCTACAATAAGACAACTTTGAAAGTACAATGTTTTAATTAAAATTGCCACATCATCACTAATTTACACTTGTACAATG